GCCGCGCCGCTGCCCCGGGGCCGTGGGCCTCTACAGCCGCCCCGAGCCGAGCGCGCTTCCTCTGCGCGGGACCAGGGAGCTGGGATGCCGGCAGGACTCTGCCGCGGGAAGGCACTTCTTTACGGGTTTGGGTTTTACGGGCGATGTTGGAAGAGTTTGTAAGAACTGGGCAAATTTGCTCACGCTTTATCATCAGCTCTGATGCAGCAGTGTTCACAGTCAGGAGAGCGTAAAAATGTGTTTAGAGAACAGCTGGAAACGAAATAGAATGATCCCAATAATACTGTGACGTGTTCAAAGAAGCCCTGAATTACTCCTTAGATTAGCTCCTCTTTTTCTTTTCCCCAGGAGTAAGTAATTTGCAAATGCGGTACAACTGCACATCCTTTTGGATGCGAGCTGCTATTAGCTGCTCTTTAGAGAACTTGCAAATCTGCCAAACACACATCTTTACACACGACTCGCGTTGTCTCGTTATTTGACATCCAAGAACACGCAGCAGCCAGAACACACGGATGTTCGCAGCAGCTTGGCAGTTGGAGAGGCAAAGAGGCTGTGGCAAGTTTCCCAAGTTCCAGGGAAAGCTTGCTTTTCCTCCTCTGTGCTGCGCAGCTATTCTTGATGAAGCTGATTTCACTTTTAAATCACTGACTGTTTCTGTTCGCGTATTTTTACTCCAGCATAAGGGATTAAAATAAGAAAAAGTGTGTCCAAACAGGAGTCTCAAGCTACTTAGTAATAAACATCTTACACTGTAACAGTTTTATTTCCAGCTTTTGGGAAACTTACTATGTCAAGGTGCCAAGTTACCCATCCTGTGAAAATAACACCTTTGCTGAAAGTTTTCCAAATGGTAATAACTAGTATTTGGGCAGTAATCTAAGAAAGAACATGAGGTTACAGGCAAGGAATTGTTATAATAACATAAATCACCTTTTATTATTATACTCTTTTCTCCCCATTGGCACCTTGAATGCTATAGGAAGAAAAGAAGTGTCATAGCAATCTCTTCATCCCTCGTTTTCAGGTGCAGAGCATTTCATGCAACAGAAGAAAAGGGTTGGTGTTAATGCTGAGGAAAAATTTCACACCTCTTTGCAAGGCTGTGTATGCTGGGGGAGAGAACCCTGCACTGGTCTAGCTCAAACACCTTTCTTCTTTTGAGCTGAAGATGCAGTTATGAAATACCTCGGTGTCAGACTTGGCTTATTTGGCGAAGGGCATGTGCTGTATGGCACAGCCAGTCCAGGGGTGAAAACAGCTGGAGACCACTGACACCGTTGCCTTTACGTTCCCAGCAGTGGCAGGAGGGGTTCGGGTTTTGTGGCCGGTACGTTTAGTTGGTGGCATCCAGTTGTTCTAGCTGCTAGTGGAATTCCTGGCTTTGATGATCAGGCTTTTACTGGGACAGAGTATTTTGCTGGGGATTTAAGAAAAATAGCAATTATTGTAAGATAAAAAATGCAGTCATTTTTAAGGACTGGCGACATGAACATTTTTCTGCTGCATTAGTGTTAAGTAACAGCAACCCAAGAATATCCACATGCTTTTAAATGTGTGAAGTGTGTCGAGTGGCAGGAGGCCAGAGCTCAAGTCTTCAGTCATCTGGGAAGTGTAAGTGGCCTGCCTAATTCCTACCACTTTTTAAACTGTTTGGTTTGCTGGAATAGCTGCAGGGGTTTGGAGCAGCGTGTAGCATCAGGTCAGGTGGTTGAGGCTGAATTGCCTTTTTTAGATTTGGTACCACATAGTCCTTGATCTTGTAAGAGATCTTTTGCACACGTGAGTCCAGCTGCAGTTATGATACTCGTACATGGTTTTAAATACCGTGTTAAACCTAATTTTTCAGGTGTGGTTTTAAAATACCATGTTCAATCTTTTTTTTTTTTAATATCTGACATATTTTGCTTATCTTGAAATGGGCGTTTTGGGGTGAAGCTTAATAAAATGTATAAGGTTTTTGTTACAATGTTTACAAATGCTTGAAAGTTCATGCCTAAAAGCTGCCTAAGTAGAATGTGTGCTTTGATATCAGTTTCTGTCTTTTTAGCAGGGGGTAAAGCCCTGCTCAGCTGCAGAATGCCAGAATGGGAAAGCTTACTCGAAATACTACTCACAACTTTTATTTTGACTCTAAAAACTACTTTCAAAGATGGTTGCAAAGTCTAATAACTTCACCAATATTAACTGCATGTATCTATTAAGTTTAGGTCAATTCTTGGTGTATGAATACATGTTCTTTTTTTATTGTTTAATTGGTTTAGGTCCAATGATGACAGGTCTCTTGGGAGGCAGCCGGTTTCTACGGAAGACTTGGTCCAGCATTTAACACAGCAGATACCTAAAGTCTCATGAAAACAAACTTTGGGAAACTTCATCAAGATCCAGATGCAGTTTGATGCGTAATGAGGGTGGCTCCAACCAGTTACCTTGAGGAAAGGATATGTTGCCAGCCCTTCTGAGCCCTGTCCCTATGTGCGTGTGGAGTGAAAAACATCAAAAATCCCAGCTACAAACATCAGGCCTTCGGGGACTGTTGTCTGTGAGGTATTAAATAGCTTTTATTCACTTCTAGAGGAATGCTCTTACATCTCAGCATTACTTTTTCCTGTTTTCAAAAGTTGCTGTGCATCAGAGATGGTCTCAGAAATCGTCACCATCTTTCCTGTTACTGGTTCCACATCTGCCTTTAAATACTGAGCAGGTGAACCCACTAGGATAGCACTTACTTTGTTGTGGTTTTTTTAAACAGAGCATTTGGATTTTTTCCTTAGCTAGTTGATTTAAGACTCCTCTGTACGAGGGATTATTAACCTTCAGAGGACTTAAATTGTCATCAGAACAACTGGGAAATCAGCTGGGTTTTGTCATCAATAATTTAGCATTTTTGTTAAAATGTTCTTCGGTTTTGTCATGGTTAGCCCTGTAAGTAAATATCAAAATTTCAAATAGGATGGATATTTCAGCA